ATACTCTAACTTTACAAGAGCGAAATTGGTCCTTCAATGCAGTCGTGTTGTTATATATGGGCGGGACTTGCCCAGTACTCACTTTCACGTCTCGATAGAACCTAAAAGTGTCTACGAGTTTTTGTAGGTGCAAAATCTTCTCCAGTTTCCAACCTCTCTCTCACGGGCGGGGAGTGGGAAGCCTCTCACGGGCGGGGAGTGGGAAGCCTCTCACGGGCGGAAGTGAGAAGCCTCTCACTAAACGATTGCAATTTCCGTGAGAAGTGCTCGGACCAACTACATTTCCAAGTTCCGCCAGTTTAAACCTTCACTGCTCGGATGCACCATGCCCCCTCACATTGTAGCAAAGCACCCTCATTCCCTCCATATTCCACTGGTAAGAGGTTACAGCAGCTTCCCACCTTCGAATCCCCCTCATTCATTTCGTATTCAATCAGTGAGATATAAGTTACATTCGAGCATCTTTCCCTCCACGAATCACCCTGATTCATTTCGTATTCCCTCTGTGAGATGTAAGTTAAACTCGAGCAGCCTCTCCCCCACGAATCACCCTGATTCATTTCGTATACCATCGGTGAGATGTAAGTTACACTCGAGCAGCATTATTTCCAGGCATCACCCTCATTCATTTTGTATTTAATCAGTGAGATGTAACACTCCAGAGCAGCTTTTTCTCCACGAATCACCCACATTTATTTTGTATTCCATCAGTGAGATGTAAGTAACACTCGAAACCAGGATTTTCCCCAGAAATCACCCTCATTCATTTCGTATTCCATCGGTGAGATGTAAGTTATACTCGTGCAGTTTTTCTTTTCGCCGGGAATGCCCCCTCATTCATTTCCTATCCACTCGGTATGATGTAGGTTATACGCGAGCAGCTTTTTGCGACGAGCCACTGCACTTTGAAACCCGACCCTCAGGCATATGCCTTCCCGATGCCTACAATCTTAACCTGTTTATGTTTAAGGCTTATTGTCCTCCCCTATCCACATAAATTACCTCTTAATCTATCCATCTACCTCAAGGGTACTCGGGCCTTGTACAGGTGAACCCTACTGTACAAAAACAACAAAAAAGCAAAGTAGCTCTGACCAAAGATGTCACGTACGCAAAGACAAATTGACAACATTCCCTTCATAGTGCGTTGATAAAGTGGAAGTTTCACTCAGATAGCTTCATATCTGTTACGTCTTGGAATAGACTTCAGAACGGATCAAGTACCTCTTCAAACGAATGCTTATCTTCGTAACACGCAGCATTTTTTACGCCTTTGCAACAATCTCATTTAAAAAATTTCTACCTTGAATGGCTCTTGGGGCTTTTGTTGGTTGAAAAATACTAGAAAAAGACAATTTCGTGCCAGTCATGAAAGTCAACATTTACAATCCTTACTTTTATCTTGACTGGTGTGAAAATGAAGATCGTACCTTTTTTTAGCCCAAATTTTAATAAACTGATATTATGTATCATTATGGATTTTTTTAAATTACTGTTTCTTTTCAGGACTTGTGACCTTCAATCTGTTGTTAACTGACGCAAGAAATAGTTTGTTAATTCTCAAGCAATGGAATTATGCATTTTCATTTATTTCTTTCCGTGGGAAACTGTTGATTACGTCATGGTCTGTATCCCGAATATAAATGTTAATTTTTATCTGATCATCACGGACCCCCCTGAGATATGTGCATTCACACCTAGAAGTCCATGAACCCAATTTACGAAGCTCTGTTTTAAACAATATATATATTGGATACAAAAGTTGTCCGTGAGTCTTGAGTGGTTGTTTGACAATTTATACAGGGTGCGTTGGATAAGTTGTCATCATAATTTCAAAAAAATGAAAATAACACACAAAAAACACTGATATATTTATCAAAATTACAAAAAAATATCTTGAGATGCCAAAAAGAGTAAATTCATTCAATAAAATCTCCATTGCCTTCAACTATGACCTCTAGGCGACTTCGGAATCTCCTGCAACTCTTCTGGACGGTCTCCTTGTTTATATTGGTGAATGCTGCCATAATCGTTGCATTCAGTTAATCTTTGGTGTTACAAGGAATTCTGTTGGTCTCTCGCTCAGCTGCACCCCACATATAGTAATCAAGGGGGTTGCATTCTGGGGAGTTAGGTGGCCAGATATAAGGGGTGATGTGGTCGTAGAAATTGTCTAACAGCCATGACTGGGTTCTCCTGTTTCCAGAAATAGGGTCTTCCAACAGCCGTCCTCTTGACCCAGGGCAGCACTATCTTCAAAAGGCCCTTGATGTAGGCCTACGTGTTGAGTCTGAGGCCCTGCGGAAAGATGAACAGAGACATAACGTCGTTATCACTAGTGATCATTTCAAACGCCTTCGTGTTCACCATTAAATTCATCGAAATCTTTCCGAATCATCTGTACTATCATCAGATTGACACCAAAACACTCTGAAATATTTTGTTTTGGAGCTTCAGGTTCGAATGCCAATCAGAACAACATGCCGTTTCCAAATTTCTG